TTTGCTATACATGAATTAATCCCCACGTATTAAGAATGTCAGGAAGCATCCCATGAACATGTGGAAAGAGGTCTAGGTACTGGTGACTGCAGAAGTCAGAAAAGGCTTGCAGAGCTCAGATTTCCAAAGTAAGTGGCATATATTAACAAGAAAACTCAACGATCCCATTCTGGGAAAAAAATAATAAGCTTAAAAGTAGGAGCTTCAGTCTTTCATTTTTATTTCATTTCCCCACCGGGGCTAGTGAGGAAGGTGGACTACACAAAACAAGCCAGGTTTACAGCAGGCTGTTTGCTGGTAAGCCAGAGTGGAGACAATAAAATATGAATTTGGAGCAATACTGCAGCTGTGAGTCTCTGTTGGATGGGAGAAGAAAGGTAAACATTTCACAGAGAAAACGCTGCCATCAAGGACTTCTCTTGAACTAAAGGACAATTGCTGCTGTTCCAGAATAGAGGCCAAATTCCTCTAAATCTGAAATAATTAAGCTAGGAAGAACACAGCTCATTCAAACATAAAATAAGTAAGAAATTGATTCCAACACACAATAATCCAAGCAATATCATTTAGTGAAATGCTGTTTTAAAAGAAACGAAAATAAATTAAAAATATAAAACATGATGGAGTAGAAACTAAATTTTTTAAAGGGTCAAAAATAGGAAAAAGATAAATATCAGATGACAAAAAACTCAGAAGGGTTTCCATGGAGTAGAAGAAAATCATTAAAACTAACAACCATTAAATTAAAAAAGTGATGAAAAAATGATCTTTTAAAAACACCTACTGAAAGCAGAAATGCCATCGTTTAGAGAAATTTTAGGTTAACGGACATTGGGAGAAGAAAAGTGAGCTGGGGGAGCTAAGGAAAGAAGTGGGAAACAAGATAAAACTGTCATGGAAATGAAGGTCTCTTTGGAAGCTGGAGAGGAGACGTGTTAAAATGCAAAGAACATTTCCATTTGGACAGAATTGAGCCACGTGAGCAAACTGAAATGAGAAGTACTGAAAAGGATCAGAGAAAAAAAATAGGCAAGATGAAGGCTATATAGCATACAATCAGATCAGTGTCCTGAAAGAACACAAATGTATAGTGGATCAGAAAAAAAGATTCAAAGTTATAATTGTAGAAAAAATTCCAGATACTACAACAATAATGTATTGAGCACCTTCTGTACAGCAGGAAGTTCTATACACAAACGACATGACAGGGTCAAAGACAGATGGCACCCCACCCACTACCAAGCTACCTTCATAAAGGAGACTGGACCAAAGATGCTCAAGAGAGGGCTTATTGTGTTAAAGAGAAGAAGATACAGGATAAGTCACACCAAGACATGTGCTAATAAAGTTACTGATTTCAAAGCCAAATAAAGTATATATTGAGTAAGCAGGCAAAAAGATTAAGTTACCTAGAAGAGGAAACACAATTGTATGGACCTAAACACAAAGCCATCAAATGAAGCAACACCTGCCAACTCCTGGAAGAAATAAAATTTTAACTGAGAAATGTATGCCCAGCCAAAGACAAAAAACATATTCTAATAAGCAAGGATGAGGGACCTATAAATGCACCCTTACTGAGAAATCCTTTGAGGACATTGACATCAGTCAATGAAAAGATGCAGAGATTTTGATGAAAGGATTGGTGATGAGCGCTGAACAGGCGTAGCCAAGATAGCCATGGGAGCAGCAACTAAAGAACAGAATGTAAAGGTTACACAGTAAATATGTGAGAAATATTAAATAATGAACAGAACTTGGAAAGTAAGTGGTAAGAAATGAAAGAGATTTTAAATATAGCAAACAAAATACATAAGTTAAAGTTGATAAATCAAGTAATGGATGTAAAGTTGTATTTAAAGACACAAATTTAATCATTAATAAAACTGAGAAAAAATAGCATAAGAGCTTAAATCAGGTGGTGAAAGATGGAAAGGGAAGAGTGATACAGGTGGAAGTCTTCGGGTTTCATATTCACTTACAGTGGTGTACCAACGCTGTAAAAAGAGTAGCCGGATGTCCTGAACGTTTACATTAAGAGAACTAAAACAACAAAAAGTTAACTTTCCAAATTACCTTAGGGAACACACACACACACCCCTCAAGCAAATCTGAACCATATTGTTTAAAAAATACATTAAAGGCGTCATAAAATAAAAGATGACACAACTTATACAAAATAAGGCCAAATCTGTACTCTAGTAACATTAACAAATGGGTCACCCAATTAAAAGCTTAAAAGTGGCGGATTTGATGGCAAAACAACGTCTAACTTATGCTGTGTACAACAAACATATCTCAGAGGAGGTACCTCCAAACATCCAAAAAATATAAAAGGACAAGCAATAGCATGCCAGGGAAATGCAGTAAAATTAAGACAACTTATTAGTTCAAGTACAAGTTATTAGAAAATTCCTAAATTCTGAATTCCTTTGTTCCTAAATAATTCCTAATTCCTTTACACCTTTTGCTTAGGAATAAAAGCAATAAATGAAACAAATAATCAGTTTTATTGTCTAAGCTTATTCTAAAATTTTTATAGAAAAAAAATTAAAGATTGGGAGAAAATATTTGCAAACTGTGATTCTGACAAAGAACAACCAGTCTAATCAGAAGATGGACAAAAGCCATGAAGAGATATTTCACCGAAGAAGGTACACAGATGGCAGATAAGCACATGAAAAGATGTTCAGCATCATTAACCATGTAAATAAGTGTAAATTAAAATAATATTAAATGTAAATGCAAAGTAATAAAAATTGAAACCACAGTGAGGTAACACTACACACTTACAAGAATGGCTGAAATAAAAAATACTGATAATATACCAAATACTGGTAAGATTCATAGCAGCTGAATCCCTCACACACTACTATATGTAAAATAATATAATCACTCTGGAAACCAGTTTAGCAGTTTCTTAAAAATTCTAAACATGCAAGTATCCTAAGACTGCGTACTTCTAGGTACTTCCTACAGAGAAAAGAAGATATATTCACTTAAAAACCTGGCCAGGCAGAACCAACAAGAGGAATCGCGCCCCAAAGTGGCCTGGCCCAGGAAGCCTCTTTGCCCTGGGGGGCAAATAATTCACCTGACAGGTTGTCTTTAAGCAAATTCCTGGAAACAATTTGAATGCTTATATGTATAGAGACTGGTTTAAAATGGACTACTGTACAATGCTTTAGAATGACTGACATAGTTTCATATGTCCTAATGTTATACTCCAAAATATTTTAAGTATTAAATATTGAGAATAGAAGGTTAAAGTAATTTATGTATTATGCTACATGTGTTAAATGACACAAAATATATACATCATATATTTGTATATTATACAGATATGTTATAAGTATACATACATATACATGCTTACTTATACATATGTAGAAGTGCATTTAAAAAAAATAGGAAGAAAGAATACAATATTTTAAATGAATCTCTCTATTTTTACAACAGTTTAGGTTGAATTTTCTTTTACTTTTAACTGAACACATTCTAATGATAACACTCTGTGGACTGAATACTTTAGGGCAGTTAAGGAACCACACTGCTGTCTATTTCTCCATATCCAGAGATACTGCACGTATTTGTTCCTAGATTAACAGCATAATCTAAGGAACAGAAGTGCCTGAATTTACCTTAATCCCATTAAATGGACTCTAGAGCTTGGTTTTGACCAATAACATCAAATCCATTTCCTCTCCTAAATATAAGACCAAGAGATTGTTTCACAAATTTTGTTTTAATATCTCTTCTTGAAGC